CTTAGTAAAGGCTATCGGGTATGGAAGCCCCACAATCCTGCCACCCTAACGGTCCAGCCATCCCATTTCAGTGGTGGCAGCTACTGCATAATCTGCTACACCTGGGATGCAGCAGAATGGGGCTCGAAGGAACCTGCCCCAAAGGCATCCTGCAGACCAAAGTCATTTTCTGTTTAAATGTAACCACAACTCACTCTTTTCCATTTCATTTAATAATCAGCATTCGCAGGGGGAATCATGCTGTACAGTGAAAAGGCAACGGGTAAGTAATCAAAACACATCAAATGTGTCATGTAACTTTTGGAAAATAATTGGATTATTGATCGAAACAGAAAATTATAACTAGCATTGGAAGTTAAAGGGAGAGTTTGATATTATAAATGTTGATGTGAAGGCGATGATTTATTTTAAAATGGCTTTATAAATAAAGGCATGGCATCTTCTTTCAAAACGTGTGTCCCTGGAAACAGGTAAAACACCATGTAGGCAGAAGTAATTTTTAACTGAAAATGTTGTCAATATGTAGTGAACACATTAGTTTGTGACATTTCTGCAGAAATGTGTGCTGCTTCTGCGGGGCAGACACACTTTACAATGCTTTTGCAATCATTATCATGTACACGTGTTGGAGACTGGGTATAAGCTGGCATGACCCTTGCATCCAAAGAGGCTAACAAGGCTAGCCCCCTACCCACACAGTTTTCCCAGGCTTGTTTGGATGGCAACTATCAGTAGAATGAGAGCAACCTTTCAAGGCTTGCCAAGAAGTCTGTAACTATTTACTGAGATTTGTTGTACCGAGAATTTGTCCTTCTGCTCTGTCTCTCCTGTAGAGATTAAGAGGAACAAAGAATACATTTCTCTTGACAGACCTCCTATTCAAGTGTTTGTGTATAATATAAAAGGCATTACACAGTTAATAAAGTTGCTGCAGTCTCTAGATAACCTTTAGTCCTCCTGATCCCGCTTTCCTGTCTTTCCTTCTTTTCTCAATTCCCACCTCCCTGCCTCAGCCCAGTTCAATCTGTCAGGTAGACCTGGCATCCATGGCTATTATCTTGGATGGGAGCCATTATTATTATTAATACTCTTTGTCCATTATTTTTGGTTATCAACTCTACTAAGCATATGGTAGAATTACATTAAGCTGTTGTCTGCTTAAATCAGAACATGTGATGAATTCTAGCCAATGAGCTATAAGTGGAAGAGACAGATTTCTCTTCCAGGTTAGAGTGAAGTATTATAAAGTTCATATTTCTTTTTCACATATCAATCCAGAAATATATGAGATGAAGTCTGCTCCTTCAGCTAGGATCCTAAGTGACAATGATAAAAGGAACCCCTTTCCAGTGTATTGGTGAGCAGACAGAATATTTGTTGTTTCAGGCCAATGCAACCAGAGTGTGGTTTACTACTACTGTATAATCTCATCTGTCTTGCCTCATACAGAGTTGATGAATGACCATCTTCAGAATCTCTTAGAATTATATGTAAAATGTGTACATGACATTCTATGTCCATCATATTCAAAGGCTTTGGACATAGCTACCTGTATGTGTATTCCCAGCTTCAAAACTCTATGACCTCAGACAATTTACATAAGATTTCTATGCTTTCATTTGTATAATATGGACAAAAATAGAACCTCTATATGGTATCATTACTGCTGTTTATAGATACTCTGGTTTCTCTTCTTCCTGGAACACTGCAGGATTGTGTGTTAGGGCCCACTTGAAGTTAGGGAAGCCCAGGTGACATGTTATGGTAAAAAAAAAACACAAAACAAAACAAAAAAAAAAAAAAAAAAAAAAAACGGCAAGCAGAAACAACCTACATCACTTCTGTGCAGAAGTTTGAAGAGCCAGTGTACACTTCACTACTTTCTTTCTGTCTACTGTGATGATGAACAATCTTAAACAATTGGTTGCTTTTTTATCCCAGACCTCAGGTTGAAAATGAAGCAGTACAGAACCCCTGTCAACTTTGAAGGGATGTGTAGTGAGATAGTATGTCTGGGATTGCTTGTTACTGTGGCATAACTGTCACCAGGGCTGATTCTTTCCAAAGACTCTCAGAGAGAATCTGCCCCATGTTTCTGTCCCAGCTTCCGGTGGTGCCTGGCAATTAGCTGCATCACTCCAATCTCTGTTTCCATGGCCGCATGCCTTCTTCCCAGTGTCTGTCTACGTGTATCTCCTCCTCTTCTTGTAACTTGTAGTTGTTTGACTATAGTGTTAATTTTATAGGTCTAATACAAACTTTACTAAAGCAGTTGCAAAGCACAGGAATACCAAAAGCAAATTATTTCTTATCAAGTGTCTTTCTCTCTTTTCTTCTTTTCTCCTCTCATTTCAATAATATGTCCACTGTAGTTCAGGGCAAAATGCTCCTAAGTATGAAGGAAAGTAATAGTAATAAGAGGAATTTTTCTGTCAGCTCCACAACTAATCAGGTTTATATTTGTATCACGACAATGAACCTGTATGTGTAAGTCTAACTAGGAAAAGATCATGCGCAGCCTTAGCTTAGAGAGCATTAACCTTTTAAAGTCACTACACAAAAACACAGAAAAAAATAACACCCACCACTGTGACTAAAACAACTTCAGTAGTCCAACAAATATTTTGTCAAATAAATGAACTACTTAGTTTTGTGACAGAGATAAAGTTACTGGGAACCTCTCTGCCTCAGGAAAAGACAAGAATTGGCATTCCCTCCATGCCCCTTACCCATTATTCTATCCTCAAATGCCTGAAGGAAAGGCTCCAATCTGATTAGACTTGTGAAGCACTCCTTCTCTGTGTTTTTGAAAAACCATCTCAATTTCCCACTGTTCCCATTTCCCACATGGTCTTTCCCCAATATACACTTTCTTGTAAACTCATTGAAGTCTTTTCTGTGACAGGAAGCTAAAAAGACAGCTTTGCCCCTGAAATGGGAAGCTTGCTACATTAAAAAGTCGCACGCTTACACCAGGAGATACAGCTGCCAAGGACAGCAGACCCTGACTATGATTATTGTGAAATTCACAATAAGGCTTCCAAGCCTCTCTCTGATCTCCTTTTGTACCACTCGCTGGCCTCCCAATTGAACAGCTTATGGCTCATGGCATACAGCTTGTAGTTCGCAGCATACTCCATAAACTTGCTCTCCCTTACTCATCCTCTGCTCCTGCCTTCCCTCCTCTGAGGGATGTTACTTCTTATAAGTCTCCCAATCAGAACCTCTGATGCAGGAAGCCTCTGTCCGCTCACGTCGGAGTGAATTCCCTCTCCTGTGTTCCCACAGCACCTTGCAGGTGCCCAGGCCCTCTTTCCTCCTAAATGCCATCCTCTCAGAAAGATCTTCCTGTGGTTCAGCTGTTCACACAGCCATGTCTTTCTCTGCCACTTCTCTTTATGTGTGGCCTTGGAAATGCATATCATAATAATTTACATATTTGCTTGTACACTGACTTGGAGTCTACCTCCCTTATTAAAAAGAAGGCTTCAAAAGGAAGCACCCTTTATATCTTGCTCACTTGTGCCCTAGAATAGTGTATGATATAGAGTGGGTATGCAATAAGTAGTTGTCGAGCAAATAAATGGATGATCATAATAATCTGGCCAGTGTATATTACATTAATTAACTTCAATATTTCATAGCTGGTTTTTCTCTGATTATTTTGAACCCATGGAAACATGAGTAAAATGCACAGAAATTACATAGGAAAGAGAAAAATGACACAAATATGCTTTTTTTTTCACCCATTCTCTGTCTCTTACATACACACAAACATATAGACATACACATGACAAACAATTTAGTTCCACCCTAAGTCTCTTCACTGGTCATCAAAATATACATTCTTGGCAATTTCTGGGTACCAGGGACTAAGAAATTTTAAGAAGAGTTTCTCAGGCCTCTCAGGTAAAGAAGGAATGATGGGAAGGAGCTGTCCAGCATTATACTGATGGTGTCAAGGAAATCACTGAAATAAAAGGATCACCAGTGAGAATATGTAATAGAAAGAGCATGTTCTGAAGAAAGTCTTAAAAAATTCCAAAATATGCCCTGACCAGTTAGGCTCAGTGTATAGAGAGTCATGCCGTAGACTGAAAGGTTCCGGGCTTGATTCTGGTCCAGGGCATGTACCTTGGTTGTGGACACATCCCTAGTGGGAGTGTAAGGCCTGAAAGACCCCCGGTCCAAAGGACGAGCGGCGACCCCAAATCAAACGCAGAGCCCGAGTCTTGATGCAAAGAGCAGGAGGTTTATTCCAAGCGCTGCGCAAGGACCCACAAGCAGCAGTCCAGAAAAAGACTGCCGCTTGAGAGCCCTGAACAGAGGTTAGTTACAAGCTTTTATAGGCAGAAACCACACGCAGGTGGCCTGGGGAAATTGGCCTGGGGAAATTGGCAAATTGGCCTGGGGAAATGCAAACATAAGGTTGAGATTGCAATCTCTTGGCCGTTTCCCGGGCAGTTAGAAACAGGCCTGACCTTACATTCCCTCCTCTTCTCAGGACTGAGTTTCAACCCTGGAACTCATATTCTGTTTCCCCTTGCCCAGTTACGATACAGGGCCCGAGGGTTAGAAGTAATCAAAGGCCCCATGAGGTGGAGATTAGGGTGGTGAGCCACGGGGAACGATTAAACCAATTTTCAAACCACCCCTGTTGAGCTTCTCTATCTCTTTGCCTCCTGTCTAGTCTCTCTCTCAGTTTGGCCATAGAGTCCTTCACCATGCCTGAATGACCTATATAAAAACAACACTCCTCTCTCAAAGCTGCACACAGGCCACCGTTCTTCAAGAACAGGAGGTCTAGCCCCCCCCTATTCTGTAATACTACCGCAGACAGCGAGGTCAGGGATTCTTCCAGCTTACTGTGGGGTTTGGATTAAAGCTGCTGTCCCAGTCCCCACCCCGGCGGTTACCCCTAGCCCCAGCAAGACAGCTAGGGTTAGTGAAACCGGCTCTCTTCTGTTAGATAAACCTCAGCCCCTCCACACCGCCAGGCCTCACTCCTTGTACTCAGGAGGAGCAGGGCGCCGGCGGATGTGAAGCTTGAGGGGATTTGAAGCAGTCTCCACAGTCCATCCATCGTCAGGCGGTGGTGCAGGTTTGGCATGAGAGGCATGGATCCAGGAGGCGATGCCGTCTACCTTGATGGCGGTGGGTGTAGTCAGAAGTACGAGGTGAGGTCCCTTCCACCGGGGTTCCAAGTTGGCTGTCCGGTGACGACGAACGTAGACAAAGTCCCCAACCTGGAACTGGTGTGGTACTTTGAGCTCTCCCGGGGTGTAAGCGGCAGCCAAAGGGACCCACACGTCCTTTTGGACCGTCTCCAATGCCTTCAACCTAGCGAGCAGGGATTGAGGGGCGTGAGTTTCTGTGTGCATGGTCCACGGGTCAGCAGTGAGTGGTGGTGGGGCCCCGAAAAGGATCTCAAAAGGGGTTACTCCCAGGGGCCCGGGCGTATTCCGGGCACGGAATAGGGCAAAGGGAAGGAGGACTGTCCAGTCTGTTACGCCAGTTTCTAAGGATAATTTAGTCATAGCCTCTTTTAACGTTCTATTCATCCTTTCTACCTGTCCTGAACTTTGGGGTCTATATGAACAATGCAATTTCCAATTAATCCCCAGCACCTTGGCAATTTCCTGACTTACCTGGGCGATGAATGCCGGCCCATTATCTGAACCAATTACCTCTGGAACTCCAAACCGGGGAAAGATGTCTTCAATAATCTTCTTGGCTACTGTGGTTGCCGTTTCGCTCTTCGTTGAAAAAGCTTCAACCCATCCTGAAAAGGTATCTATAAAGACTAGAAGGTATCTATAACCATACCGGGCTGGCTTGACTTCCGTAAAGTCAACCTCCCAATAGCTGCCCGGCCTATTTCCCCTTTCCCTTTTCCCCTGAGAGACTTGCGAGGGGTGGGAATTTACTAGCTGACATGCCTTGCAGCTAGCGACAGTTCTCTCGGCCAGGGAGGTGAGCTTTCGGATGGAGTAATCCAGGGCCCGGCAGGTAGCACTGAGATGTTTTGGACCCAGATGGGTGAGGCGGTGTAGTTGCTCGAGGTAAGTTTTTGCCATTTCTTCAGGGACGATTATCTTCCCACCTGCCTTATCCTTCCAGACCCCGTACTTATCCTTGACGTATTTGCCAGGCTTTCTGGCCATCTCCCCCTCCTCTTCTGGGGAGTAAGAGAAGGACCTAGGAGGGTCCAAAGGGACTTTTGCTAGCGGCAGGATGTTTAGTCCCAATGCAGCCTGTTTTGCTTCAACATCTGCCTTCCTGTTCCCCTCCGCCACCTCAGACGTCCCCTTTTGGTGCCCTGGGCAGTGTAATCTCCCTTCCGGCTGAGGTGAGGAGTCCTCTTTGTCTGTAAATGGCCCCATGCACATGAGCAGTCGCAAAGGCATACCTGCTGTCAGTGTAGATGTTGACTCTTTTTCCTTCAGCCAACCTGAGGGCTTGTGTATGAGTTCTGCCCTCTGTGCTGAGGTGCCTTCTGGCAGACTGCTAGACCAGATTACCTCATCCGTGCTGACTACTGCGGCTCCTGCCCTCCTCTTCCCGTCTGAGAGGTAGCTGCTGCCATCTGTGAACCAAGTGAGGGGGGACCCGGGTAGGGGTGTGTCTCTGAGATCCCGCCTGGCCCCCGTTTCTTCAGCCAATATCTTCTGACAGGAATGCAGAATCTCTCTCTTTTCCAAGTCTGCTTCTGGTAGCAGAGAGGCAGGATTCAATGTCACGGGGGCCCCAAATTGGACTCTCCCCTCGTCCAACAAGAGACTTTGGTAGTGGGTCATTCTGGCATTGGACATCCACCTGTCCGGAGGCTGCCGTAACGGTCCCCCTTTCTCTCATCTATGTAGAGGGTAAAGGGCTTGGTGACATCAGGCAGAGCTAGCGCTGGGGCTGAAAGCAGGGTTTTCTTGATGTCGTCAAAAGCCTCCTGGTGTTTCGGGCCCCACTCGAACGGGTTTCCCTGCTTGGTGAGGGGGTAGAGAGGCTCAGCGAGTGTTGCAAACCCCGGAATCCAGAGTCTGCAGAACCCTGCCGTACCCAAGAACTCACGGACTTGACGGGGGGTCTGGGGCCTCGGGATCTGGGTGACGGTTCTCTTTCTGGCCTCCGTCAGCCACCTCTGTCCCTTTTCAATAGTGTATCCCAAGTACGTCACCTTTCGCCGACAGAGTTGGGCTTTTCTGGCGGATACCCGGTATCCCAGATGGGCGAGCTCTCGGAGGAGGGCCTCAGTACCGGCTCGGCATTCTTCCTCCGTGGCCCCCCCCACCAGGAGATCATCTACGTACTGGAGGAGAGTGATCTCGGGGTGCTCAGCTCGGAAGGGTGCCAGGTCCTGATGAAGGGCTTCATCGAAGATGGTGGGTGAATTCTTGAATCCCTGTGGAAGTCTAGTCCAGGTCAGTTGCCCCGTAACCCCAGAGTCAGGGTCTCTCCACTCGAACGCAAACATGCCCTGGCTGTTTGAGTGCAACTGGAGACAGAAAAAAGCATCTTTTAAGTCCAGCACCGAATACCAAATGTGGGAAGGCGGCAAGGTACTCAAAAGGTTATAAGGGTTGGGCACCATGGGATGGATGTCTTGCACCCTCTTGTTAACCTCTCTTAAGTCCTGAACAGGTCGGTAGTCTGAGGTGCCAGGCTTTCTCACTGGGAGGAGCGGAGTGTTCCAAGGTGAATGGCACCGTACTAAGATTCCCGTATCTAAGAGGCGCTGTATGTGGGGCTTTATCCCTTCCCAAGCTGCTTTGGGCATGGGATACTGTCGTACGGCCACGGGGGTGGCCGATGCCTTCAATTTGACCACCACAGGAGGTTGTCGGGTGGCCTTCCCCATACCAGCGGTTTCTGCCCATGCTCCCGGGACCCGGTCTACCCATCTGGCTATTTCCTCAGAGAGTTCCCCTGACGTCCTGGATTCAAACAGCCTGTGTTCGTCTTCCAAGTGGAGGGTTAGAAGTGTGACTGCCTCCGCTTCGGTCTGCCCCACAATTGGTCCCTTTGGGGTGAAAGTGATCTGAGCTCCCATCTTAGTTAACAGATCTCTCCCCAACAGCAGGGCTGGACATTCTGGTATCACAAGGAAAGAGTGGGTGACGGCCCCAGTCCCAAGATCTACAGTCCGGTTAGTCGTCCACGGGTATTGCTCATTACCAGTGGCCCCAATGACCCAAGAAGTTTTCTTAGATATCGGCCCCAAGGGAGCTTTTAAGACAGAATATTGTGCTCCTGTGTCCACCAGAAATTCTACTGGTTTCCCCTCCACTTGGATGGTTACCCTGGGCTCAGGGAGGGGTTCCGAGCCCCGTCCCCCTCAGTCACTGTCCTCATGAAAGGCCAAAATGGTCTTGGCTTCCTTCTCCTTCCTCTGCCTTCTTGGGCATTCTCTCTTCCAGTGTCCTTTTTCTTTACAGTAGGCACATTGATCTCGGTCGAGTGGGAGGCGATCGCCCAGGTTCATCTGTCTACCCTTACCTCTCCCTTCTGGCTTTTTATCACCTACCACTGCTGCCAAGATGCGCGTGAGATTCTTCTCCTGTCTCTTTTCTCGTTTAGTCTCCTTCTCCTCCCTTTCCCTTTCCTTTCTCTGTTCCCTCTCTTCTTCCGTTTCCCTTTTGTGATACACCTTCTCTGCCTCCTTAACTAAGTCCTGCAAAGTGTAATCCTGCAATCCCTCAATTCGCTGCAGTTTTCTTTTGATGTCTAAAGCAGATTGGCCAATAAAGGCCATAGCCACCGAAGCCCGCTGCCCCTCAGTCGTAGGGTCAAATGGTGTATACCGCCTGAATGCTTCCATTAGTCGCTCAAGGAAGACTGAGGGGAGCTCCGTGGGTCCCTGAAGGACTTCCCTTACCTTAGCCAAATTGGTGGGCCGACGCGAGGCTCCTCTGAGGCCGGCCACTAGAATCTGGCGATAGACTGTCAGTCGCTCCCTACCTTCTGCCGTGTTGTAGTCCCAATCAGGTCGGGTGAAGGGGAAAGCGGAGTCCATCAGGTGGGGGAGCTGGGTAGGTCGCCCGTCAGGGCCGGGAGCATGTTTCCGAGCTTCTAGCAGAATTCTTTCTCTCTCTTCCGTGGTGAAAAGGGTCTGGAGCAACTGCTGGCAATCATCCCAAGTGGGCTGATGGGAGAACATAAGAGACTCCACCAACCCGGTTAATTTCTGGGGATCCTCTGAAAAAGGAGGGTGGTTAGTTTTCCAGTTATACAGATCAGCAGAGGAGAAAGGCCAGTACTGGAGGGGCTGGAGGGGCGCCGGCCCTCCGTCGCCCGGCAACGGGGGAGGCGGTCCGTACGCCCGAAGGGGACAGGCTACAGTAGAGTCGGGGGAAGTGGGCTGCCCCCTTCGGCTCCTAGTTCCCTGGGAGGGGCCAGCCGCCGTGGCGGAGGGCAAAGCAGGGGCGGACGGAGCCGTGGCCGCAGGTAGAAGCTCCGGAGCAAGAGAGGGAAAATAGGGTGGGGGCGGAGAGTCAAGGAGGAGAAGATCCGTCTGCGGGTCGACCAACGGCTTCTTTGGCTGTTCCTGTGAGGGTTGAAGGGCCAGAATCCGTGGGCTTCGCGGGGGCAACCAAGGACGGACCCATGACGGGGGGTTCTGAACTAAATCCTGCCAGACAATAATGTAAGGTTGCTGGTCCGGATGAGATCCTGTTCCTGGGCGAAAAACAATATCCTTGATGGCAAAAATCATGGTTAGGTCAAAAGTTCCCTCTGCTGGCCACCCAACATTGAAGGTGGGCCATTCAGAGGAACAGAACGTTTGCCACGGCCCTTTCTTCACGTTCACAGAGAGATCGAACCCCCGGTCCTCAACATCGTTCCAGTTGGAGAGGGTAAGAGAGAGAGGCGTACTTTCCCCTTGCCCCACTTCAAACCAAGAAAAGGACAACAAATTCACGAATAAAACAGACGACTTACACACAAAAAACACCGGGCCCACAAGACCAAGACAGACTTGATTGCGGCTGCACTTTCTCAACACTCACAAAACACTCACTCACTCAGACCAGAACCAGGGAGTCTCCAGACTCCAAACCCAGACAGAACCAGGGAATATCCGATCTTCGTCGGGACTCGAACCCGACACCTGATTGTCGGGACTCGAACCCGACACCTGATTGTCGGGACTCGAACCCGACACCTGATTGTCGGGACTCGAACCCAACACCTGATTGTCGGGACTCGAACCCAACACCTGATTGTCGGGACTCGAACCCAACACCTGATTGGAGACCGCCAGGCGTCTACCAGCCACTGTCCGGCCACTCCCACGAGTCGCCGACCGGCTGCCAAACCGAAAGTGCGCGCCCAGAACCTGAAACCAGAAACCTGAATGAGGCAGCCGAACCTGCGGCCCTCACCTGCTGTTCGGCCGGACAAAGAACAGCCCGTTGCCGAACTCCCGACTGCGACCAGCACTCTCTGATCACCTCCTTACTGGGGCGTCCCCCAGTCTGACAGTTTTATCTAACTCAAGACCGACTGAGCTAGAGAAGCCCCCCTCTCACGAGGGCGGACAACCTGCCGTTACCAGAGACAAAAGCCAAAACAGAAACCGAAACAAAGTCTCACACCGCACACAATCCAACCCTCCCGTTCCCCGTTCCCCGTCGGGGGCCCCCTTACCTCCAAGATCGGTTCTGCGCTTGAGGGGGGGCCGCTCGATCCCGGACGAGCCCCCAGAATGTAAGGCCTGAAAGACCCCCGGTCCAAAGGACGAGCGGCGACCCCAAATCAAACGCAGAGCCCGAGTCTTGATGCAAAGAGCAGGAGGTTTATTCCAAGCGCTGCGCAAGGACCCACAAGCAGCAGTCCAGAAAAAGACTGCCGCTTGAGAGCCCTGAACAGAGGTTAGTTACAAGCTTTTATAGGCAGAAACCACACGCAGGTGGCCTGGGGAAATTGGCCTGGGGAAATTGGCAAATTGGCCTGGGGAAATGCAAACATAAGGTTGAGATTGCAATCTCTTGGCCGTTTCCCGGGCAGTTAGAAACAGGCCTGACCTTACAGGAGATGTGGAGGAGGCAGCTGATCAATGATTCTTTCTCATTGATGTTTCTAACTCTCCCTCTCTCTTCCTCTCTGTATAAAATCAATAAAAATATATTTTTAAAAAATTCCAAATACAAGTTATTTAAAAACTCATTACATATTATATTTCACATTACAAATTATGTCCAGGCACATTTTTCAATCTAGTTTACCAGAGCTTTTGCAATTTAATCCAATGTAAAATATACTTCATTAATAAAATGCATAAAAGTCACAACCCAAATTTGAATCAACAATATTCTATTATCAAAAAAAATCAATAAAACATATATTTTTTAAATATTCAATTTGGCGATATGGGGGGCCAGGCGGTAGTCCAACTCTAGTGGGAGAACTACTCCCTGCTCTAGCTCTGACATCTCTTTTATTGAGGCTTTGGGGAAAACATCTTAGGCAAGATAAACAGAATTTTACATGTAGCCCTTAGGCAGGAAATAACAGAAACTTACATGGGACAAACAAGGTGGAGGCTGCTTCAGCTAACAATGTCTCAACTAAAGGGTGAGTGGTTAGAACAATTAAGGTTGTTGACCAGCCTTCCTGGCTTCTTGCCAACATCTCTCTTTTAGTGAAATTGATTTGTTTCTGGCATAACCCCAGTTAACAAGAATACAAACTTGATCACTTGAGGAAGTAGGATAAAACAAACTCAGAACTGATTAGGATGCTTAGTTGTATGTGCCTGCAGGTGAGAAGCATCAGTGGCCCCAGCTGAATAGGCTAAAGACAAGAGAAACTGATATTACAAGATAGCATGTGACTATCAAAAAGTGATGCATTATTACAGTGTTTCCCAACCTTCTCTCATGATGAGAATCACCTGGTGGAGTTGTTAAAACACAGATTCCCGGATCTCAACTAAGAAGTGCTAAACTAGAATTTTTGGGAACATATAGGTAAAATTGTATACTTAACTAGTGCTCTAAGACAGATTTTATATACAGAGCACTAAGTTAGGTATGCAATTTTACCTATATGTTCTCAAAAATTCTAGTTTAGCACTTCTTAGTTGGGATTCGGGAATCTGTGTTTTAACAACTCCACCAGGTGATTCTCATCATGAGAGAAGGTTGGGAAACACTGCATTATTACTACAGTCAAAACTTCCAGAAACATAATATATAAGGTCAGGTTATTTCAGGAGTATCCTACTTGTTAATAGTTAGAAATGTAAAAATATTAGGAAACTATGCCACATAATTAGTGAGCACCTCGTCTGTTTATTATATTCTGTACATTATTTATTTATGTTCTTTTATTATTTGCTATAGTTTCCCTTCTCTCATAAGTTAACATTTTAGAACATTCTTGACATTATTAGAATTTATTTTTCCATATGAACTTTAGAATCCACTTACCCTATTTCATTTAGACCATGCTAAATATACAGAATAAGAAGAAATGACATAGCTATAACATTGAATCTTCCTATGAAAACAAATTTATTCAAAACTTCTTTTCTGTCTCCTTAGCAGTGTAAGTTTCATTCACATAGATATTTCCTATTTATTGTTAAGATTGTTCCTATAGCTTTATTATTTTGTTGGTTTTGCTACTTTTGCATTCTATTTTTGAGAAGATGATTCTTATCTATTGAAAAGTGTTTTTTAAATCATTTATGTACTCAGAGACTAAAATAATTTACTATAGTTTGTGGAAAGTGAGGATGAAGGAGTAAGATGCATGTTTGGAAAGGTAAGCTGAAGCAAACCATTTGTGATTTGGAAGTTTGGATATCATCCTGATAGTAATGGGAAGTCTTAAAACTGTTTTAAATAGAAGAATACATGTTCAGACTTTTTTATTGTAACTTGTTGTCAGTGTAAAGAAGGTTTTATTTGGCAAGATTGAAATGAGAAGACTTCAATGATGTGTAAGAAATGAAAAAAGCCAGACTAAGATAGTGAGATGATGAATTAAGAAAAGAGACAAGCTTTATTTCCTGAAAAATTAACAAGCCTTGTCAGAGATTGAATAGACTACATGAGAGGGAGAAAAAAAGTACCTGTCAATTAGGGATAAAACAAGCTGGTGTTGAGTAGAGTTTCTATAAATTCCAAGAATGGGTATATCGTGATGACCTGATATACAACAAATAGGTATTTATCAAATATTGAATTATCAATAAAATACTTAGGTGTCCCCTATAGACCTTTAATCTCCATGCCTATGCATGAACACAAAATCGTCAGAAACTCAGGAGGAAAGGATGGCAGGAAAAGAGAATAAGACAGAATACAGAGCCATAGTTACATGATGTGTGGTCATAGAAGGAAATAGTAGAATGACATCTTAGGGGTTTCATATCCAGGGATGTAAGAGATTTTTTGGTTTTGGTTTTGTAGAACATGACCCTCAGAGCCATATATTGCTGTGTGAAAACTGAGTAAAAAAAAATGTGTCTACTCTAAAATCAATAAAAATATATTTTAAAATTAGTTATGAATTATTTTTCTGTAGGAAGATTATTTTTTCTCTCTATTCCATTTTATTTACCAACTAGAACAAAAAAAAGCAAGCTCAGGAATTAACATAGCAAGGTTATTATCACCAATCATGTTAGAATATGCCTTTAACATTTAATACAGTTTCATTTATATTCATATATAATTTTAATATTCATAAATAATTGATTTATTATATATATAAATTTTGGCTACTATGAAATTATAGCAAAAGAAAACTGTTCATTGAAAATCACATATTTATTTACTTAACAAAGCAATAGTATATAGTTACATTCAATATTAGTTAAAATATCTGTGAAAGAGGCTATGTTCTTAAGCCTTTAAGGATTTTTTTAAATGTTGTGCATATAGCCATTTAAACCATCTGTCTTTGATATATATTTGGGGCTTTTGTTGTTGTTGTTCAAGAAATATTCTCAGACCTTGCTATTCAATGTGTGCTCCATGAAGCTGAATATAACCTGGAAACTTTTCATAAATACAGAACCTCTGTCTCCACCCAAGACCTACAGATTCAGAATCAGTATATTAGTAAGACCTCCAGTGCTTTTAAGCCATATGCCTCTTAAAGCTTATCAAGATGAAACACTCATTATTTAGGACAATACAATATTGCACATATGGAAAAAATAGAAAGAAAAACCATCTAAATCTTCTATGGTTCTCTAAACATAGAGTTAGTAAGATTTATGGCATCTAAATTATAATCTTAATGTGATATTATTAAATAATAATGTAATAGTTCAGTTGTGAATTTATAAGCCTTGATATAGGAAATTGAATTACTCAGTTTTAACATATCATTTAGTACAATTGCAAAATAAACCACCCCTTTTGAAATTATCATCACTGGTACGTTCAATCCTCCCTGTGGAAACCCAATAGATCTGTAATTAAATATTAGAAAATTGATTTTTTTTTAAAGCCAAGAAATAGAGATAATGAGCTAACATGTGAAACACTTTGGTGCATGAGGATCTAGTCAAGGGTATCACACAATCTTTAATTTGCACAATGTTTAATTTGTACAAGTGTAGTCACGTTTGTGAAAGCAATATGTTAATTCTCCCTACTCAGCTCTACACATTCTGCAATTTAAAAAGCTGAAAAATGATTCCAGCTAAAAGTCATTTGAGAACTGGATTAGTCTCATTTTGTTAAGTAACGAACAATGTCAAAATCTCAGCCGCTTACACTACATACAAATGCTCATGTTCCCTGGCATGCAGGTTGGCTAGAGCTCAATTGATTCAAGTTGGGTTTGCCTGGGTCAGTCTTACCTTCAGACTTTCTTTCAGGTTCAGGCCTCCCCCATTTATCTTCATTCTGGGACCCAGGCTAAAACAGCTTTTGCTGAACGCTCTTTTATTCATGGATCACAGGAGCATGGGAGCTTACGTGGAAACACAAAATGCTCCTTCAGGCTTCTGCTGACAGTGTGCACACTGTTATTCTCATCCATGTTTTATTGACTAAAGCAAGTCATTTCAACAATCCCCTAATCAATGGAGCAGGAAAATGAGCCCCAGCCATAAGAGAAGACACTGTGAAGTTACATGGCACAGAATGTGGATGCATAATTTCAATATATGAAGGAAGGAATCCCATCCCACTAACACAAGTAGCTTCAAAATTGTATTAAGCTTAACTTGGCTTATGTCCTCCGGTTGGTGGTCAGCTTTATGAAAGCAAGATCAAAATGCATGCATTTAGTTCTGATAATCTCTAACCTCTTCAAAAAGTAAAACTTAAATTTGTTTAACTGAATACAATTGAGAAACATATTTGAACGAAAAGTAAATAGATTGGTGAATTCTGAAAACAACTAAGTTTGAAACACTAGGTTTAAAGCTTCCATGTTAATAGCCATCTACAGTACCAAATGGTCTTCAGTCCACTTTTTTTCATTTCAATGTTCTCCATAACTATTTCTACTATTTATTATTTGAAATTGCATATAAATCAACTTACCTGCATAAAATAGACAAATTATACCTTTAACCTCTTTATGTCTTATAGAAATGCTGGCTTAAACAATAGAAGTAAAGAATTTTGTATAATATGATGTACATAATAAATGCTCAAAATTGAAAATACTTTACTTAATTTAAATATATCATTTTACAGATGAGAAAATTTTAAACAGAAAATTACTGGGCATTGTTTAAAATCATTCGGAAGATGAGCATCAGGATTAGGACCAGAATTTAGGTACCCAACCTGCCAGTTCAAGTGTGTTCTTTCTGCTAGGCTGTGTGGGCAGTACATATATGTTGTAAGCATCTCTACCCAAGTTCATACTCAAGTTGTCAACAGGTTGTGCCAAATTCTCTAATACTTTCATTTCCTACCTTCCAAATGCAAAATCAATAAAAATATAATAATTCCAAACCCTAATCTTTTGGGGTGCACTCTTTATAGGTTCCCCTCTACCATTCTTACAGGACAGTGAGTGAATCTAAGCTATTTACTAAGGTCTGGATGTGCATCAAAATGGCCATTTCTTATCAAACCACAGGTATAGAATAATGAAAGAAAAGCTTCTGCCAACTAGACCATCAACAGAATGAAAAGGGAGACCACTGTATGGGAGAACATATTTGCCAATAATACAGCTGATAAGGGCTTAATATCCAAAATATATAAAGAACTCATAAAATGTAACAAAAGGATAACAAACAATTCAATTAAAAAGTGGGCAAGGGACCTAAATAGATACATCTCCAAAGTGGGCATACAGAAAGCCAAGAAACATATGAAAAAATGCTCAAAGTCGCTAATCATCAGAGAGATGAAAATTAAAATGACAATGATGTATCACCTCACACCTGTCAGAAAGGCTACCACCAATAATTCAATAAAAGACAAGTGCTGGTGAGGATGTGGAAAGAAAGAACCTTGCTGGTAGGGATGCAGACTGGTGCAGCCCCTAAGGAAAACAGTATGAAGTTTCCTCAAAAAAAAAAAAAAAAAAAAAATACGGAACTGCCATTTGAACCAACAATTCCATTTTTAAGGAATATAACCTAATAAACCCGAAACACCAATCAGAAGGATATATGCACCTCTATGTTTCATAGCAGCACAATTTACAATGGTGAAGATCTAGAAACAGCCCGAGTGCCCATCAGTAAATGAGTGGATGAAAAGGCTGTGGAACATTTACACCCTGGAATGCTATGCAGCCGTAAAAAAGAAACATGTAGGGACCTGGAAAGAATTATGCTAAGTGACATAAACCAGTCAGAGAAAGACAAGAATCATATGTTCTCACTCATATGTAGAATATAATGTACAAAATAAACTAATAAACTAAATAGATCCAGAGACGACGAAGCATGGAACAGACTGATGAATCTCAGAGGGAAGGCAGAAATGGATGGGTGGGTGATAAGAGATCCACCACCGAACTTGTATGCATATATGCATAACCCATAGACACAGACAATAGAATGGTGAAGGCCTGGGGCAGGGGGCAATTGTGTGCTAGATAGGGACAATGGGGACAAATAGGGGGCATCTGTAATACTTTCACCACTAAAGATAACTTAAAAAAAAAAAAAAAGAGGGAAAAAAGATAAATTAATTACAAAGCTGGTCCTCCTTCATCACCGTGATGCCTCAGGCCCAGACAGATTAGGGGACATTTGACAGTGTAGTGCCTACCTTTTCATCCTTTGCTTGATTATGGAAACACGTTGTAGAAAATTTTGCTTGTTGGCAGCATTTATAAGGAATTAGAGATTATTTTGGGGATAAATTTCTTTTAGCTTTGTTTAAATAGGTGGAAAGAAATAGACCTGCAGGTTGATTACATGGTACATCTGTTTGGCATATATTCTGAAAGCCATTTCTCTTAATATTAGTTCAACTTGAGCATTCATTTGCCCCAAGGGATTTATAGTCACAAACTGCCCATCTGTAACTTAATATGACAAAATTACAGGCACTTCTAATTCTTCTAGTTGCACGCCGTTCCTTCTTTCAGATCATCCATACTACTGAACACATGTTCACTCCCTAAGAATGACCAGTGAGAATAAAATATTACATATGTGACAGTGATTTAACTCAAAGAAACCTCAGGGTAAAATCTATTTAATGCCATATTCGTTCTGGCAAATGAAAATAGATTTTTAAATATTTAAAATTCAAAATCGCTACATTGCCTTTAGTTATTTGTCAGCATTGGTGTCCTGGGGTGTATTCAATAACAGAATGTTGTCTTTATATAAAATTAATAGAATTACAAACTTTTGTTTCTAAATTCCAATGATATTTTTTTATATGACAGAAACATTCAAATAGTTCTACTAACAGGCGCTGTAAACTGAACATCACCTCAGTGCTTTGGCAATGATTATAATAAGCAGTGAGTACATAAGTTAATAAGTCTGAGTTTTGTGGCACAATATTTTGTCTAATTGTACAAATCATGTAGTTAAAGAAGCAACATTGCTTTCATCTTTTTTTTTCTGTAAGATATAACTAATACTTAATAAAATCTAGAATAAAAGCAGCCCATTATTTTCTTATATAGATATTTTGTGTGGAGAGATGAGACATTCAGCAGCACTACCTGGGTTTTTATTTTAACTTCCTACCTAATGTGGTAGGTGGCATTCACCACTAATTTCGACATGCCATGTACAAGAAGAAAATCAACACAGTGTCACCATGGGCAATGCACCCTACAGTTGACAGGACTCCAAGTGGTGGCCATACATCATATATCATGAATCATTTTGAAATCAAACAGGGAGTATGCAAAGAAGTGGATCAACTACAGCAGAACTCAAGACTTGAGTGTCTGTGTGTGCAGGTGTGTGTGTGTGTGTGATGGACTAGAATGTTTTATGCCAGCAAAAGAAAAGAGGAGTAATTGAAAAGAGGTGATTTAAATGATTTTCCTGGTTAAATGCTTTTCTGTGAGAGGGGGGAAAGGGGCAAGATTGAAGAGAGAGCCTGGCATGCTTGTCTTTTTCTGACTTGGGCCTTCAGAATGGATCTAAAATTCTTTAACAAGATTCAAAATACACATCACTCTGGTCCTAACCAGCTCTATTCACAATAAGCAACGGCCCCTCTGGGCTCACTCTTTGGATGCTAGCATACTTTAATATTTGCAGGTAAAATGAATGTTGGTTCTGCTGATCTCTGCTGCCTGGTTTTATGGGATTACTCCCTTAACCTATCCCTGCTGGCTTGATTCTGACCCAGAAGAGTCTTAGATCTCAATATATCACCCCTACTCTTTTTCCCACAGAGTTCAAATTACAGTCAGAAGTACACACACACACACACACACACACACACACACACACACACACACACAAACTACCACATTCCCACAGCCCGTCATTTCCCTGCCACTGTCTCACATGACTTCCAGTGTTTCTGCCCCTTCGTTATAGACTTTGCTTTCTCCTCAGCGATGCTCCAGTCACATGCCTGCCTCTGTAGCTTGGGAAATCACCCACCTGTTCAGTTGTTCTTTTCCAGCTATCCTGGGATTTTAGGCATATATTTTCATCATATTATACCTTCTCCCAGTATGATCTCCTACCTCTCTTAACATAAGGATCCCATCAGAAACAACTGTGTCTGATGAGCACTCAGCAACTGCACTTTCTTGCTTTTCTTTGTTCAAGTTATTTCTTCTGAAGGAAGAAATCTCTGATCTCCCACCTCCAGATACACACACCTACACTCTTCTCCAGCAGGCAAGATCTTGTTCAAACTACAACATGTGGTACAAATTTTGCTGATTAGTTGGACCATCCACCCCATTATACTCAACCCTTATGTTCTTTTAGTATGTGGTTCCTGCTATTTGGTTTCTGCTATTAACATAAATTATAGAAAACATAAATAAATTGTAGAAAACATCAACACATATTGAATTTATTCCAACTGATTTAGGAAGTTATTAAGTAGGTAAATTCAAATATTAATGTATAAATTACATCTAATTAATCTTCTTCTAACAGTAGAGATGACACCAAGCTGGATCATTCCCCAAGAAGCTATTTGGATGCCCATTGCAGCACTGTGGGCCAGGTGTTTGTTGAGGTGTTGTTTCCATCCAGTGAAGTCTGCTCCTACAGCTTCCTATAGCACTGTGTCTACCAGAAAATGCTTTTCTCTTTTCTTATCTGAATTCCTCCTTTGACACTCAAACATAATGCAACCTTGCTACAATGTTGTCTCAATATCATGAGCATGTTCCTAACCTGACAAGTAAGTGTGTTCCTCTTAGATAGGTGGCAGTTGTGACATTGAAAAGTGTCCTGGACTCACTGGACCAGCTTCCCTGAAGTCTTAGAAATGACATAAAACAACAGGAACGACGGGTGGTGAACTATTCTTGCTGCTTTTCTTCTGACATGGGTCCAGATTTTTCTCTCCCTCCATTACCAGACACATTTTTTTTCAGCCTCCAGGATTGCCACTAGGGCACCT